GTAGAGGCTCCTAACCCTCAGGTGTTACGGCTTCTGCTGGGCTGGGACCTGGAGATGAAAGTGTGCCTTTGTCCGTGAAGCATCACGGACTCCCTGAGCTGGGCCTCTCCCCACAGCAGGTTACGTGACAAACAGGCTCTGGAGATCACGAAACAAAATTTGGAGGGCTGGAATGAGGCGTGTATGTGACCTACCATTGTTAGTCATAGGTCCGAGAGTGGATGAAGCAGGTAAAAGTGAGTTAGGAGGAAATAAAGCCTGGATACAATTAAGAGGGGTTTTGTTTTTTGTTTTGTTTTGTTTTAATGCTGTTTGTGGTGCCCAATCCCAGGTTATTAAGAGCACGACCATGTTAGTAGCCTGCATTCCTATCATCACTAGAAACTGGAGGCCTGTAGAAACTGAGACACTGAGAATAGAAAGAAAGCTTATGAAATAATTGCTGTCTTCGTGGGTAACAGTTCTAGAAGCTCTATACATGCTGGTGAAAAGAATGTGGAGCCCAAGATGGGTGAAAGCCCACACTCCACATATCCTATACGTCTTCAGCTCCAAAGAAATCCTGTGTTGTTGCGGGCAAGCTCTTAAACCACCAACACTCACCAAGTGCATTGCACTATACTGTGAAGTTCGGGGGTGGGGAGGCAGGATGGGAGGCAGGTCCCAGACAGAGGATATAAAGGGTCTGCTAGACAGAGTATCTTTTCTAAATACTGTTACAGTATGGTTAGATGTAAATATACAAGAATTTGCATATTTCATGATGTAAGGAAATTAAATGTAGCACCAAGATGTTAAGGATGGGTTTCCTGAATAATGGAGCAAATAGTTTCATATCAGAGTCTTAGAAGTCCTTTCAGAAGAGGCAAGTATTGAGTTAGGTTTTGAGGAAGAGGAGGAACTTTGGAGAGGAAAGAGAACATAGCATGAATGGCTTTGTGCAGAATTGTGGAGGCAGAACCATGGTGAGTCCCTTGAGATGCCAAGGGTTATCATAGGATCTGAAGGCGTGGGGGATTTCCCACAACTCCAGAAACAGTTCCTCATGCCCCCTAAAGCTGAGACTTTAGAACAAATTAAGTGTGGGTTTTTAGATGACCAGCCCTTGAAAGCAGAGCGTGCTTTTTCTCATATAGCTTTTGGAAGATAAGGATGGTGATAGTCAATGCAGAGAGGCAATTAAGATCACTTTTGGAACATGCCTTATTCAAAAGCCTTCAACTAAGACTCTACCTTTTGTTTGATTTAAAGCCCAAACTCAGGGGTGCCTGGGTGGCTCACTCGGTTAAATGTCCAACTCTTGATTTTGGCTCAGGTCATAATCTGGTGTCATGATATTGAGCCCTATGTTGCACTTTGTGTTCTGCATGGAGTCTGCTTAAGATTCTCTTTCTCCCTCTCTCCCTTCCCTACAGCTCACACGGATGCACGCTCTTGCTCTAAAAAATAAAAGGCCAAATTCAGCCTGGCTTCCAGAATTCTCTACAACCAGGATCCTACCCCTTGGCTTTCTTTCTCAAACTGTTCATTACGTCTTTACTCCTGACAAAATTTTACTTGTCAGTTCTAAAATATACCTTTCATTTTTTATGCATTTCTTTTTTTTCCAAGTGGAAATGCACTCATTATCATTATCATTATCATCTCTACTTTGGTTGTCCTACAGTTTTACTCAGCTGTTACTTCCTTGGCGAATCTTTACCATTCATCCAGGCCATGAGCCTCCATTCCTATGAACTTGTCCAGCAGAGGTTTTAATGTTCCTATTACTCACCAAGCTATGCCATTCTTTCAACAAGTGTACACTGATGTCCAGGGCGCACATGGCATGCACTAAGGCCAAACCCTGTCCTTCCGGGTATTATGATCCTAGTTGTACACAGCTTGCCTCTGTTGGACTGTGAGCTCCAGGAGTGATTTGATTGAGCAACTAAAGGTTAATCACTGTGTGTACTGAGCAATGCCACATACCTCTATGACAAAATCATCCCCTCGCACATGAGGTTGGAAATGGAGTCTAAGAATTTTCTCTCATCAGAAAATTAAATTAAAATTAAAGTTCTAAACTGCTACAGTATGGCTCTCTGACTTACTGAAAGCAAGTTTCTTTTTGTTTTACTAGAGAAGTGGCAACATTGTGAAATGTTTAAGTAACTGAGTCTGGGAGTGATTAGATATCTTTTGGGGGATTTGACTGAAAAGAAAAAAAATCTGGGAAAACCATTTTTACTTTGACATTAAAATGCATGAATGCAACTCTATTTATTTAGTCTGGTTAGCTAATAAGTTGAGAACTATTCTGGATGAGTGAAAGCAAAGAATTTATTTGAATGCAAATGAATGACAAACCTTTAGACGAAGACATGGGGAGTATCCAAGTATTTGCTTCCCTGTGAAATGTAAATATTATCATGGTATAATCATTACTGATTGACTAGACAGAACATGTAAACCTATGAAGCTTTATAGTAGAAATGCTATTTTTCCTAAATGCTGAAACGTTGGCCAAATTTTTTTAAATTTGTAAACCATTAATTATTTAGATATTTTTCCATTCCAAAGTTTAGGATCAGCAATTACTTGGGGAAAACCCAACTAAAAAAGGGGGGGGGGTGTGGCAAGTTTTTAACAAATACAGGCCTATTGAGTTTAAAGGACTGTATTATATTTTTATGCTGTAATCTGACCTTCCTTTTTTATATTAAAGGATAATGATGATAGGTGGCAAGTTTTTTTCTTAATGCCCTCCATCAATTTGCAAAATAAAAAGCTGGCAATCTTAGGACTGTCCCCAAAATCTATTTTGAAGGTCTAAGGATCCAAAAGAAATCCAAAGTCTGGAAAACAGTGAATCAGAATCTTGACGGTCTGAGAGAGATATATATATATGTATGTGTGTGTGTGTATGTATGTGTGTGTGTGTGTGTGTGTGTGTATATATATATATATATTACAAATTTTATTTGTAGAAAGTCATAGAACACAGAATTGGATTTCTAACACTGTTTTTCAAGGGGTCTAAGTTTTCGCAAAGTTTGGTTGACAAATATTGGAAAAATATTCCTGCTCTACCAAAAGCCCACATGCCTTTCCTTTGCAGAGAATTTTCCCCTGAAAAACTTAACAAAAAAGAAATAATAATGTTGTGGCAATAGACCATGACTCAGAGGACAAAGTGTGGGCCCAGTGCTGTCTGGCTGGCGTGGGAGAGCCGACTTAAGACTCAGGTGCAACATTTCAATGAATAAAGGAGCTTCTATACAGTTGGTGTTAACTATGTATCAACTATGAGCAGATATACTTAACCATTAGCTGGATATACTTAACCATTAGCAGGATAGTTAAGCACACAAAAACTTGTTTACATTCTGGGTGGGTGACCTTGGGCAAGTCATTTAACTTCCTAACTTCTGTAAACTTTAATTTCTAATCTATTAAAAGGGGGAAAATAGCTGTACTTACTTCAGATGACATGTGATCACGTGCTTGGCCTGGTGCCTGGTCCATCCACACATGGGCTGGCTCATGTTTGGGATATTATTTTATGAGACTGATGACCTTCCATTCACTTAAAATATCAAACTCCCTCGGATATAAACAGAAAACTGAGTAAGAGAATGAGGGAACTACAAAAATAGTCTTCACTCTTTCCTCATGGGGGTGCCCTTCCCTAGAGACGCCCTCCTTTCGATTCCTACTTTTACCACCCAACTAGAAGTAGGGTCAACGGGTTCTGATCCCAAATACAAAACACCTTAGTTTGATAAAAGGCACGTTCTGGGAGACCAGTCTCTGAGCTACCATGTTTGGTTCTGGAACCCATGGAACACTTCTAAGGGGAAGTGTTAGAAGCACATAGCTGCCCCAACCCTCGAGATCTACTTCTTTGAAGTTTGGTCTTTTGTCTTATAAAAGAGAGGCATTTCCCTACAAGGACAACTGAAGACTAATCACGAGTGACTTCAAGTCAACGAAATGACATTTGGGTGCTCCTGAGATGGCACCTGAAGTGGCCTCGCTTTGAGAGCCAAGCCTAGTTGGTTCAATCACATCTTCACAGGGGGATGGCCTCATAGCCCTTCTGACATCCCCAGTACTCTGGGAAGCAGTGGCTTACGTTTTTTTCTGGGTGTCACTGGCTTTGAGGTCCACTCTCCTGAGGGTTCTGATCTGGCTAGCACAGATGGTATTATTCTCGTTCTGCCCCGTGTGGGTCCAGGGAAGGGTTCTGCATGCACAAGCTGGCTCACACAAGGCATTTTTGTGTATCGCTTTTATTGGTTTCAGGAGACAGAGGCAGGCAAATTAAAGCTGAATATTAGACGTTTCTGTTCATTAAAGGCCCTTCAGCCACTTTCACTCACAGGCTCTAGACTCCCACCGCTGGCTTAGCACCCACGGCCTCTTTCCCTCAACCCCTAAATCCATGGTCTCTTTATAAAGAGTACTGTAGCTATTTCTTCAACTTCCTCTTCTCCTGCCAACTCATTCTCATAAGGTCTCAACCTTTTTTTTTTTTTAAGATTTTATTTATTTATTTGACAGACAGAGATCACAAGTAGGCAGAGAGGCAGGCAAAGAGAGAGAGAGGAGGAAGCAGGCTCCCTGCTGAGCAGAGATCCTGATGTGAGGCTCGATCCCAGGACCCTGATATCATGACCTGAGCCAAAGGCAAGAGGCTTTAACCCACTGAGCCACCCAGGCACCCCAGTCTCAACCTTTTTTAAAAAAAAATTGAGGTAAAATTCACATAACATAAAACTAACCATTTTACAATTCATAGGCATTTAGTAGAGGTTGCATCCCCAATGACTTATCAAGACAGTTTCCTAAATAAAGACATGAAATGATTTCCTAGTACTAAGAGGAAAAAAATTTTTTTTAAGATTACGTATTTTTAAGTGATCTCTATACCCAATGTGGGGCTTGAACCTACAACCCTGAGATCAAGAGTCGCACTCCACTGACTGAGCCATCCTGGTGCCCACCCCCCCGCCCCCGAGGAGAAATTTAGAATGCCAGTTGCTTCCCCTCCCTTAAACCTTGTTCTTCCATGGATAGAAGTCTTTTGGCATTTGAGGAAAAGATGCCGTGAAACAGCTGCTTATCCTTTTGGAGAAAGAGATATAATTTGTTGGGGGAACACGGTTGTGAAACATTTAAAATAGATTTGTTCACAGAGGATAGTATTTACAAAACTAATTTTCGGCTTTATTTACTACTCAATGGAATATCAGCAACTTACTTGCAAATCATTCATCAAACATACACATTTACATATTTTTATATATCACATATAAACTTGACATTTGTTCATAGTTGTTTTGGTACCCACATATATATTTATATATTTATATATATAGCAAAACAACTATGAACAAATGTTAAATTTCAGTGGTGGGTATATGGACATATTATTCCAACTCAGATGTATATTTGAAGTTGTTCATAATATAAAGTTGGGAAAAACTCATGGAGAATAGATTTTTATTTAGATAATTTGTACTAAATGGTATAAAAATGTGTTATCCATGTTTTTAGGATATGAAATTTTAGGATATGAAGGGTACTGGACCCAAGTCTGGCATCAGCTGCAGTCCTCACACTGATCATTCAAACTAAACAAACCTGAGAACAGATCCAAAGATTGGCTGCGCTGAGCAAAGATTATACGGAATCTGGAAGAGCGACAGCAATGGCCAGCATCTCTCCTCAGAATATCAGTCACACCACCTCCTCTCCCAGGAACAGCTCACATGTAAAGGGCACAACTTTCACATGGTGGTCATTAGAGCCATAAGAAAACTCCCTAAACACACAATGAAATAAGATTTTTAACAAATATTTACTGAGCACCAATTGAGTGAACTTACGGTATTAGGTGTTGTTTACAAGCTAATATTTGTAGGACGTGGCTTCTGTTTCGGGGTTAATCACAACTGAGGGAGAGAAGGTGCTTAAATGTGAAAAGCTAAGTAACACCACAAAATGTAAAGAGTAATTATTACATTGTTGGTGAAAATGTAAGTTAGTAAACTTTTAATGGAGGACAATTTAGTAATAGGTATACAAATTAGAAACATGTATACCCTTTGACTCAGAATTCCAGTTAAATGGGTAGGAACAAAATACTATGCAGCTATAAATAGAGTTAGGCTGCTTGCCTTTTTATTTTATTTTTTTAAAGCAGGCTCCATATTCAGCATGGAGATCAGCATGGGGCTGTAACACACAGCCCTGAGATCAAGACCTGAGCTAAGATCAAGTCCAATGCTTAACTGATTGAGCCATCCAGGCAGCCTGAAATGTGTTGATACAGAATAATCTCCAAAACAAAAAGTGAAAGGAAAAATAGACAAGTGGGATTATATCAAGCTTAAAAGCTTCTGTGCAAGAAAAGGAACAATCAAGAGAGTAAAAAGTCAACCGACAAATGAGAGAAAATATTTGCAAACCATATATCTTACCTGATAAGGAGTTAATATCCAAAATATACAAGAATTCCTACAACTTAATAACAACAACAAAAATAACCCCAAATAACTCTATTTAAAAATGGGCAAAAGACTTTAATACACATTTCTCCAAAGGCATACAAATGGCCACTGGGCATATGAAAAGATGTTCAATGTCCCTGTTAAGGAAATGCAAATCGAAACCATAATGAGGTATCACCTCACATCTGGTAGGATGGTCACTATAAAAAAAATCAGAAAATAACAAATGCTAGTGAGAATGTGGAGAAACTGGGACCTTGTGCAGTGTTGGTGGGAATGTAAAATGGTGTAGCCACTGTGGAAAACCATATGGAGAAACCTCAAAAAATTAAAAACAGAATTTACCGTATGATCCAAAAATTCCACTTCTGTGTATTTATCCAAAATAACTGAATGAGGTATTCGTACTACCATGTCTATTACAGCATTATCCACAAGAGCTAAGAGGTGGAAACAGTCTAAATGGCCACAGCCAGATAAATGGACAAAGAAATTGTGGTATATCTGTACAATGGAGTATTATATAGCCTTAAAAAAGAAGGAAAACCTGCCATATGCTACAACATGGATGAAACTTGCAGACATTATGCTAAGTGAAACAGCCAGTTACAAAAGGACAAATACTGCATGATTCCACTAAAGCAATAATACTCATATACGCAGAAAGTAAAATGATGGTTGCCAGGGCTGGGAGTAGGGGAAAATGAGTTTTTGTTCAATGGACATAGAGTTTCAGTCATGCGAGATAAAAAAAGTTCTATAGATCTACTGTATGCATAATAATGTACTTATAATTAACAACAGTATTGTACACTTAAAGGTTTATTAAGAGGACAGATTTCCTGCTCTTTTTTTTTTTTTACAACTGAAATTATGTATCTATACATATCTTTAAATATCTCTAAGTAAAAAGAAGTCAAGATGCAGAGGACTGCAAGTTTGCCAATGTTGTGTGTGTGTGTGTGTGTGTATTCTATATAAATAGATAGTTAGCTCAGCTTAGAGTATATTTTGCAAAGATACAGAGAGCTGTAAGAGCAGTTGCTTTCAAGGAGGAAAACTGGATGCTTGGGGCAGATACTGAAGGAGGGAATTTTGTAACTTCTGAATTTGTACCAATTACATTTAAATTTTACCAATCAAAAAATATAACACAAGGGAATTTATAAAAAAAAATAAGAAATATATTATAAGGTACTAATGACACACACCAAAAGACTTATCTAAAAAATAAGAGATAAGGTGAAATGGAGAATGAAGTATTTACAAGATGGAATTTGAGCTGGGCCCTGAGAAATGGGAAGTGCTTGGGTAGGCAGAGGAGAGGAGTAAGGACAGGCCAGGTGTGTAAGTAGAAGTCAGAGTGGGGAAGGAAGAAGAAGAGGAGAGGACAGGGTAATGAAAGGCAAATCAAGTGCCAGACAGTGAGATGGTTTCAGTGTATCACAGAATGTAGGTAAGAGAGAAAAGAATGAAATACAATTTAGTAGATGACACCGGGGAAGGTGGGATTAATGTGGCGGGCAGTGGGGAGCCAGTGTAGGCTCTTGATGAAAGCTGGATTCCAAGGAGATCAATGAACACAACAGACAAAATGAACTAAAGGGCAGCTTTTAGAAGACTGATGCAGCCATCCAGTGGGTGCCCATTACAATCATCTGGGAAGCTTTAAAAATATGTATTGGGGCCTGAGTTTCAGGCAGAGATTCTGATTTCATTGGTTTAAGGTGGAGCCTGAACATTCTCCTTTTTCTTTTTTTTTAAGATTTTATTTATTTATTTGACAGACAGAGATCACAAGTAGGCAGAGAGGCAGGCAGAGAGAGAAGAGGAAGCAGGCTTCCCACTGAGCAGAGAGCCCGATGTGGGGCTTGATCCCGGGACTCTGGGACCATGACCTGAGCCGAAGGCAGAGGCTTTAACCCACTGAGCTTTAACCCAGGCGCTCCTGAATGTTCTCATTTTTGAATGCTCCCCACGTGATTCTAAAGAGCAGCACAGGCTGAGAACAGCTGTAATAATCAGGCAGAAAGGGATGAAGGCCAAATGTGCAGGGACTGGCAGGAGACTGGGGCGTTGGGGATAGGATAAAAGCAAATATAGGAGACATTTCCAAGGAAGAACTGATATGCAACAGACTGGAGGTAATGAGTGAAAAGATATATATGGTCTGTTGGATTTATGTGTTCACTCAACAAATACTTACTAAGTCACTCCCAAGTACCAGGTACCATTCTAAGCTCTAAGGATATAGTGACGAGAAAGACAGACAAGTCCCAGTTCTTAACAAACCTGCAATCCAGTGGGCCCTGACAACAGGTGAGCCTGACAGCAATGGGCTGTGCTAGAAAGCATGACTGTGTGCTGGGGGCTACTCATCTAAGCCAAACGGCCAGGGAAGACTTTGTTGGGCCAGTGACACTTGGGCTGACGCTTGAATGAGGAGGAGCTGGGCCTGCAAAGCTCATTGAAGAGAAGGTTCTAACTCGGACAAACAGTAAGCCTGTGGAAACAAGCTGGGTGTGTTCAAGGCAAAGAACAGCTAGAGAAGAGTCAAAGATACGAGACAAGGTCAGAGAGAGAAGGCATAGACCAAGCAGAGCCTGTGGGCCATGACACAGATTCCATTCTCCATGAGATGGAGGCCCTTGGAGGAAATTAAGCAGAGCAATGGCATGACCTGGTTTACATTTTTAAACAACTACTTTGGCCGCAGTGTGACAACGAACTGCAGGTGGTGGGAATGGAAGCAAGAAAACAAGTTGGAAGAACAGATTAGAACATGTTGAGTTTAGGTAACTGTGCAGCACCTAGGCAGAAATATCCCAGGACAACTAGAAATGTGGGAAATAGGTAAGAATCCGAGTTGTACCTACTGCCTTGGGAGTCACTTCCAGAAGGACTGAAGAAACGCAGATTAGATGACAATTCAGGAATACAGGACGATACCTTTACCCAAAGAAGAGATTAATAACAACATGGAAGAAACATCTCTAGTGGTGGGCTGCAGGCTCTACAGCTGGTCTTGTCTCACTGAGCACTTTGTCTGTGAATGGGATGAAGAAATGGCAGGATCATGAAGGATGTCAAAAAGCAGGAATCGGGGCACCTGGGTGGCTCAGTGGGTTAAAGCCTCTGCCTTCAGCTCAGGTCATGATCCCAGGGTCCTGACATCGAGCCCCACATCGGGCTCTCTGCTTAGCACGGAGCGGGCTTCCTCCTCTCTATCTCTCTGCCTACTTGTGATCTCTCTCTGTCAAATAAATAAAATCTTAAAAAAAAAAAAAAGCAGGGAATGATGATGCACTGGAATCAAAACTCCAAAAAGATCTCAACTGCTGGAAGGATGAGCTTAAGTTTAGACAAATTTAACATATATGGATAGATAACAGATGTGTATGAATAAGTATATATATATAAATGTGTGTGTATATATATTCCTTCATACTGAAAAAAATTAAAATCAAGTACAAGACCTAGAAATCTGGCAGTTCACTTAAAAGAGAGCTGGAACTTTTACTGACCACTTATTTTACGAGGCTGAAGTGTCCTATTATTGTGAAAAAGCTGAGGTAAAATCAGACTACGGTGACATTATTGACATTATTACAAAACTATAAAAATTATTTTTCTGGGTAAGAATACATCAGTCATGAAAATAAACTGCACTGATCAGATATTTCTAGAATATTATTTTCTCATCGGACTACTGAAGCAGAGAAGGGAGAAGAGATATGTGATTTGAGGAACAAATAATACCACCTCTATTCAAGTCAGTGCTCAATTCAAGCATACTCAAGCTTTCCCCAAACATCATGTCATCTAACTTGAAGAAACAAGGTGCATTTCCCCTGGCTGAGAGAAAACTTAGTCTTCAAACATGAAGGTCTTTAGAGAATTCACAGAATTCAGAAGGCTTGTCCAAAATTAGAAAAAAAGAGGTAGAGCTGGGATTTGAACACAGGTAAGTATGACTCCAGAATCATTTAAAAAAAAAAAAAAAGAGTCTACCTGTAGGTAAATATATGAAAATATGGTTTTTTTCCTTTGAGTTAAGCAGTTTCATTTATCAAGTCCATCTGAAAAAGGCTCAATGAAAAAATTCCAAGTTTTATCTGAGGTTTTTTCAGGTAAGAAATTCAGGTGTCCTATTTAACTTCACAACTTTAGGACTAGGTACAACTCTAGTGCATACTGTGTGCTCAATAAACATTTGTTCAGTAAATTAGCCAGTCCCTTTGCTTGTGTTGTGCATAGGTCCACTAACTGATAAAAGATAAAACACATATACATTCAAACAAATGAGAAACAATTCTCTGCAAGTCTTTTTCCCCTTATACCATTCCATATAACCATGTCTTTTAATCGTCTTTTTTTTGCCCCCCTGTCAACTCAATTTCCCTCTCCACCCCTTTCCTTTGTCCCATAGGCGAACAAACCTCTCACTTCCACCTGTCCATCTGGCCATCAGCCAAGATGAGTCTTTCTGCTTCTCAGAATTGCTCACCTTGATTGACAGCTTCACAAGCTAGGACAGTGGATCATGAGGACGGTAAAAACACAGATCAGATTGTTCAGGAAGAGTGAGAAACAGAAAGAATTCTGACTGCAACAAGGAAACCACATCTACAATATCTGTACTCATCCTTCACCAAAATTTTGTTTTCCTATTTTCCCCCCTCTTCATTGTGAGAAGACTATAGGAGGATAATGGTAGAAAAATGAATAAATGGTGTTTAATTAAAAAAAAATTTCTCAGTACTGTAAAAGATTCTGAGAAGTTCTAAGACCAAAAATTATGACACCCAAAATCTACGCAGAGTTATTGGCAGGAAACAAGGTCTTTTTTTTCAATAGGGCTAATTCTAACATAGCCACGGAGTACTGTCAACATGCCAAGAAGAAAATCAGGTTAAAATCATTTGTTTTGAGTTCTTTTGTTTCTAGCATCTACTCCTCATCTCTCCATACCGTACTGGCAATGTCAGCACTAGAAACTCCACACCCCGCTACCCACAGATTATCTAGTAACCTGATCCTGCAAATACACAGGACAGGAATGGAGAAGAGAAAAATCCATTTACCTTCAAAAGAGATCTTTCAAATTCATTAACATCTCATGTAATGCTTACCATTTCATTTGTGCTCACAGAACCTTATTCTTAGGCTCCAAAAATGAATCATTTCAGGGTCAAATGGGTATAGCACTTCCAGGAAATGGGGGGAATACACATTTCAAATACAAAATAGTACCAGTGCAAAGGTCACGCGGAAAAGGAATGAATCTTTCCCAACTGATCTCTGTTCACTTCAGAGATCACCCCCCAAACTGTGTGTGTTGGGGGTGGGGGGTAGTTCTTAAAGGTGGATGCCGTATATGTAGGCAAATACAGAACAAGAGATTTTACAAAAGTAAAAAAGTTTCTAGAAGCACATGAAGGCCAATGATTAGCTCATAATCCATTCAAAGGCATGTGTAAAGATTATCTGAAAATGGATGGTATGCTTCTGCTTTTCCACTGGTGAATTTACCAGGATACTAAACTTACATTTGAAAGGTATCATGGTAGAAGAAACAGGAGCAAATAAAGCTGGAGAGTTTGGGCTGATCTGGTAACTTGCTACCCATCAAATGCCTGTTAGGAATTGCCACAGTGGGGAATCTATGGTAGTTTCTAGACTGCAGCTCTATACCTAGATTGTGCTGCATTTCAGATTCTGCTTCTAGATGGAAAGGAAACACACACACACACACACAATTTCCAGACCTTGGGTGTTTAAAGGGCCCTTCACACAGTAAATCAACCTACTCCTGTCTTGTTTTCTCCGCAGCCAGACTGAAATAATACAGCACCAGCAGAGGTGTGAATTACCCCCATTCATCTTAATGGAGTGTTAACTTCAAAGGCTTGTTTTAACCATTTAAATGCTAAGCTCATGAGTAAACATTCTGTTAAAAAAAGGTACAATTTAAACATTCACCCTCAACATATGAAAGTAATTTATATTCTCAGCACTTCGTCTTTTAATTTAGCAAACAAGTCTCCAAGTGTTAGAAAAGTATATATTTTGTGCTTTACTTAGTTTTATTTTAAATAGTTCTTACCTAATAAATTATGAACATTAAGCCCATAATGCAAGGGCCTATATTTCCCAGGAAAAATGCAGCGGAGTACTTAAACAAGGTTTTTTGGTAATCCTGGTGAAGGGGGCACTGCTCTTACCTGCCATTTTATTAGTTTCCTCCAAACTCTTGGGGAGCTGTGATTCCAAATAGGCAACTAGATAAGGCAGAATATTAAAGTGAAATAATAATAATAAAAAAACTCTTCCACAAACAATTTCTTTTGATATTAACTAAGTTTTATGCAGGGTGTTCAATAGGTTACTTGTCCCTTTGCCAAAACTCTCATGATCCTACCCCATGAGCAGGTGACAAATGTATTAACTGATGCCCAGCTGTCATCACACTTAACATTTGCCCCAGGGGGCATCCTTGCATCTGTTGCAGATTTAGGGTTACTTCGGTATTCCTGGAATTAGATTTATGTAAGCAGCTGAACACCTATTTGTACTGGGATCTATAATTTCATAAAGAAAAAGAGGGTACAAGAGTCAGCTTATCAGATTGATGGGCTCTGGATGACCTGAAGCCACATGGTAAGCCACGCCTGGCTGAGCCCCTGGGACCAAGCTAAGTGTCCAGTTTCAGGAAGATATTAGTAAAAGAGTACAGTGGGGGCAGAACCATGGGGAAACACTACAAAGAGTGCACGTGGGGCCAGTTCCCCTGTGGATGAAGGCTAGAGCAAGATTCTAAACATATTAGCTCTACAAGATGGAAGATGAAGAAATTCCACATCTCTGATTGAAAGCAAATTTGTTTTACTGGTCCAGATGAGGGGATGGAGAAAAGGGGATAACTAACAGCTCTCTTAAAAGAGCCTGTCTTGGTCTGCACCTAATTTATACAAGGTCATTTAATCCTCTCAACACAACCCTGTATAATTGGTATTAACTCTATTTAATACGTATGTGAAAGTGGAGGCTTAGAGAGGTTAAGTACTTTGCCTAAACTCACTGAGATTTGAATCTAAGTCTTTGTAACCCCCCAAACCTGGACTTTTCCCGTTATATTATGCTGATCCCAAGTTGCCAAAGAAATAACTCAAAAGAGAAGGTCAGTTGTCAAGTTTCCAGCCCATTTCCTCTGTGGGAAGCAAGGGGGCACCTGCAAAAGTGGGTATTTCCATACATGCAAATTGTACTTTGCATGCAATTCCCTACTTTACATGTACACAGGGGTAGAATTACATTTTTACTGATACACCCCGGCTTTGGTAGGCTGCTAACAAGGTGCCCTTTACATAGAACACTCATGGGGAGGAGAGATCTAGCTTCTGGTTTCCAACCAGAAAAAAGCCACATCAATGGGAAACAATGATTTATAACCTCCACAGAAAATATGATATAAATCATACTATCTGTCTCTGTTTGCCAAGTAGAAAGTCACGTGTTTTCATGACAAATGAGAAAGCTCAGAGAAGTTCCAAATCCACAGCCAATCATCACAGCTCTATCTCATAATGAACAACAGGAAAATCACAAAAGTTTCTTAGAGAAGATTTGGAGGCAGGGCAAAATACCAAATGAAATAATCCCACAGTTTTGTTATTAGTGATTAATGCTGACATTAACCCACAGCTAACATTCAATTTTGTATATAAGCTCAATATGCTGATTTCTTAGAAAACAAACAAACAAATGAAAGACTGACCCAGTATATTTAATAACATTAAAAACTTCTGCTCTGCCATAAACACTGTTGAGAGAATGGAAAAGACAACCCTCAGACTGGGAGAGAGTCTTTGCAAAACACATTATCTGCTAAAGGACTGGTATCTGAAATACACAAAGAATGCATAAAACTCAATAATGAGAAAACAATCCAATTTAAAAAATGGATGAAAGAACTGAACCTCACCAAAGAAAATATACAGATGGCAAATAAGCATATGAAAAGACTCCCAACATCATATGTCATTAGGGAAATGCAAATTGAAACAACAATGAGATACAACTATACAGCCATTAGAATGGCAAAATTCCAAACCACTGACAACACCAAATGCGGGCAAGGATACGGAACAGGAACTCTCATTCATTGCTGTCAGGAATGTAATATATTACAGGCAGTCTGGAAGGCAGTTTGGCAGTTTCTTGTAAGACTAAACATATTCTTACCATATGATGCAGCAACTGTGCTCTTTGGTACTGACCCAAATAAGCTGAAATTTACATTCACGCAAAAACCTGCACAAACATATTGATAGCAGCTTTATTCAGCACTTTGAAGGCAACCAAGAGGTCCTTCAACAGGTGAATGAAAAAACAAACTGGCACATCTATAAAATGCAGTATTTTCCAATGATAAAAAGAAATGAGCTATATGAAAATGCACAGAGGAAACTTAACTGCATTTTGTTAAGAGAAAGAAGCCAGCCTGAAAGGTTAGATAATATATAATTTCAACTATATGACATTCTAGAAAAGGCTCACAGCTAAAGGCTCATAGTTTTTATGAAGTTACTCAAGAGATCAGTGATTGCTGATACCTGCATCAATAGTGAACTCTAAGGTAAACTATGTACTTTAGTTAATAATACTGCATCAACATTGGCTCCTTAAGTGTAACAAATGTATCACAGAAAGGCAAGATGTCAATAATATAGGAAACTCTGGGTGTACTGGCAGTGAGGGGATATAGAAGAACTCTGTACATTCTGTTCAATAGTTCTGTAAACATTCAATCTACCCTAAAAAAACAAAATCTATTAATTTAAAAAAAAACCCAAAGATTGACTTAATACACTGAAGAACATTTTGTATTTCTTATTTTAATTAAAACTGTTATAAACCCACTTACCCCTACATATTCCCACTTTGTTCTGCTTTTCTGATAATGTTTACAAAAATGTTTACCCATATAAAAAGGATTTATCCAAGGGGTCTTTCAGAATTACTCCTTTTTTGCATACAGAGGTAAATTATTCTTCATAAGAAGAGGAAAATATTTCTTTCATTTATTAATCCAATTAAAAACAATTAGTGCTAAACTAATATTCCCAACCAAAATTCCAAAGATGAGCAAAACAAAAGCCTGTGGAAATAAAAAGATATAGAACAATTAAGAGTATTTCAAACCTCTACCTTCTCCAATAAAGTATATTACAGTTCAAAATATATTAACTTTCTTAATGTAAGTAAAATAGTAGTTATAAAATGATAAATTATTTCTTAAAATAGAATTCTTAAAAGAAATAAATAAAAACTAACCTACCCCAAGCTTTTTCCATGAGAGAAAATCCTCTCTGCTAAGTTTAAGATAAAATAGTCCTGGGAATACAAAAATCAGACATGTTGATGTACTGGAACCTTTGAACAGGAGGAAAAAAAAAAAATAGGTTATTGCCAGATTCAGATGTGAGGCTGGATGACAATGTTATCCACTCTGTTACATGGGATTTTTTGAAATAGAAAACTTACCAACTATACCAAATACATTCTTAATGTCAGGAACATATAATGCAAGCAAAACAATTATAATATTGAGTGCTAGAGTGATCAAAGAATGGCGAATCCATGAGAATGGAAAGTTGGAGAAAAATATCATCATTAAAGCTTTCCGTGCCTGTATAACAGAAAAAGAAACAGATTTAAGCAAAGAAAAAGTGTCAAAGCCAAAATACTTGCTTAGGGAAACACTGGTATAGTACAATAACCGTGACATTCTTGTTCCCTACACCACTTAGATTTTTAAAAATATAACATAAACTATTATTATAAAGTAATAATGACAAATGAACTAAGAAATATAACTGTGTGCGCTTCATAAAAAAATATTTTGTTTTAATTCTTGAAGAAATGTTCACATTCCATTTCTCTAAGTTGCGTACTTTTCAAAATGACCAACAACAGTATTATGTGATGAAATCTCAGAGAATCATTTTCATTAAATTCACACAGAGAAGAACAAAAGGTTAAAATAGAAAAAGAAATCATGCTATGGGAAAGAAACGCCATTTATTACTTTATTTTATATTATCTGTTTCATAGCATATAAATATAAAAACTAGTTCATGACACTCCCCACTGCCAAAGTGGTCAGCATCACAGTCTCACATCTCACCAATGTTTATTCGCCACCCCAACCCTCACTGAGCCACGCCTGGCAGAGCAGTCCATACAAGTAGTAGGCCAAAGATCTCGAGGGCTCAGTTCTTAGGGAGCTCAGTATTTAGGGGTTTGAGACATTCATGCAGAACCATTCATACCTAAAGCCTCTGTTTCCATTTTCTCAGAAATTCTTAAGATTCTTACATATGGCAACTAAATGCAGAAGGAAGATCTATTCTGCCCCTTAATTATAATTCTCGAGCAAATAAAATATTTTGACCAAGATTAAATTAGAATGTCTATGTGAAAACAAATCTACAATAAACCAGAAGGAGCTTATTTTTGCTGACTTGACTTCTGCCTCTTCATGCACATTCTTTTGAAAACAGAATACAGAATTAAAGAGGGGGGGGAAACCTGAAACTTTAGAAGAACCATAGTCTCTAAATTGGAAACAATGCTGTGGGAGAGCGTAAATCTAAACTAAATCTCAAAAAGCACAAATCAGCTTAGTGGTTCACTGTTATTTCTGTGCTTTCATGGGGCCATATGCAAGTATGAGGTCTTTGATCAATTACTTGACAAATGAATAAGATACACACGAACTAGATGTGATTCAAACACTCTAGTCTGCAAAGAATTAGTGTTGCCACATTAGGGAGCTGCTACATTAAGCAACAAGCCCTTCAAGAATACTTACAGGGAAGTGGATTAGAGGGACTGTCAAAAGCACAGCAAATAGTATGCATAACTTCACAGTCATTACAACATCATCATGGGGCAAGTATGTGCTATAACCTTGCAGTAATTCTGATGCCACTTTGTCTGTAAAATAAAAAAATAATAAAGACCACATTAGAAACCACTAAGATGTCAATAACAGCAAAATTATTTTTCTTGCACAAACAGATCTTAACAAATGTTGGATTCCCAGTACCAAGTCCATCTCTGGCCTTTTTCCTATACTATCTGAAACACAGAGACATGAGTTAAATATCTTCTTGAAAATTACAATCTTTTCTTTCAGTTAAACTAGAAACCAGCATAGGTAGAACCTCTAAAATTATGACAATGAATATATATTTATATAAATATCTCTTTAGAACTCTTCCATAATCTGAAGGTTTTGAACATTTAAGTTTGTTTTTGTAAGGCGGTTTCACATGTATTACTGAAAGTGTATGATGTGTTCCCTTCCGATAACAATAAAGACAGGTAGCCAGGCTAAGAAATATTCAGACTTGTCCAAGATCACGCCACACAAAGGGGAAGAGCTCTCAGAGCTACACGCCCCGCTTTTTTTTTTTTTTTTGGAACCAAAGTCAATATGTTTTCCTCAACACCGCAATGTTTTCTAGAATCTTACACTTCTGTGCATGCTGTCTGCTTCACCAACATTTCATCTGTAGATTCCTCTTCCCTAAGAAAATGTAGTTGTAGGGAAATGGCTTGCTTGGCGAGCCAGTGTGGTAGTCAGGGAGAGAGTGTGCACCCGCTGACCATGCTTTGCTCTGTGCTGTTCCTCCAGTTCCACAATGTGTTCTGCACCCCCAGGCAGACAAGGGGCATGAAGACTGAGTGCTCTCAAGACCACTCCATATCCTACCTTGCAGGGAAAGTTCAGTTTGTACTTAAAATGGAATGGTGCTTTTTGAATTTGAGAGTAATAGGTATCAGAAAAGATGCTCTGGAGGAAATAAAAAACAAGGATCTAAAATACAACGTAGCAGTAAGATGGACACACCCATAGAATAGAAAATGGATAAACACAAATGTACACTTACGCGGCAGTAGGCATTCTAAACAAAGAGCTACGGTGATTCTGAATCGGGAAAGGTAACAGTGACTTGGGGATAAGCAAGGAGGCAATCCCGGGAGGCTTGGGGAGAATCTTCATGATTTAGAGAATAGCAGGAAGGCAGAGGGCCCTGAATTCCGGGACTACACAGATTAATGTTCAAATTCCTCTACTTGCTATCACCTTAACTTCTCTGAGTGTCTCGGTTCTTACATCTGCAAAATGGGGAAAATAATATTTTGACCTGTGGATTATTGAGAGCAGTAAGTGTGATAATCTATGTGTGGGGACAGAGATTTTGTCTCAGAGCAAGAAGAGCAGAAGCCCTAATGTAGCAAAGAGAATACGCAGCTGAGAAAATGAGTACCCAATGCTACTACAGTGGCTGAAGCAGGACTTGCTGTAGAGCAAAGACAGTAGTGGGTGATATGGCCAGAAAAGGCATTTAAGACCCAGGAGCAGAGCTCTTCATAGGTAAACCCTATGAAGTGGGCCACAGAGACGCAATGACTTATAAAGACTGGTGTATTATGATCTGAACTAAGCATGAAGAAAAAGATACCCAAAACAGAAATAACAGTTAGGAGGATACTGTCATAATCACTGGGAGGTAAGGAGAAACTGAACTAGACCAGTGATAAAGAAAATGGGAGAGAAACGAATTGTCTAACGTATCAAAGACCTCATGATGTGAGACTAGTGGACGTAGAGATTAAGAAGAGCCAGGAAAGCTGGGTTCTTGTTTCCAAATCTGAGATATTTGTGAGCCTTTGGAAAAACACGGCAAACTTTTATTTCCACTTTCTGAATCATGAAAATGAGCTATTAACACATATTGCTTAACAATTTTGTAGACTTTTAAAACGGTCTGGTTATGATGTAACATTTGGGCATTGGCCTGGCTCCCCAGAGGAACACTTCTTCTCCCTCAACTTATAATACCTTAACATCCATAAAGAGCCAGTATTATTAATCTAGGTACGTATAGGCCCCTGTAGTCTGACAAAATTGAGATATTAACCAAGCCCTGGAAGCATGGGATAAAAGGATCCCAAGCAGCTCCAGAAGCCTGAAGAACTAGATTTATTATAAATTCAAAATATCTGTTACATATCCACTTTTTACTTTCCCAGGTCTGAGACAGTCAATTCTGTGCTCTTAGCTGAGCCTTAACATATGTAAGGGATAGAGTACAACACACTTCCCTGAATTCAGATAAATCTCTATAAATCTCAGTAAGGATCTGACGGTGATCTCTGCAAGTTAAGTATGCCATTAAGTCAGGAGGCTGTCCTGTGTAATACACATTGTCAAACCATATGAAGTTCATAAAGATTACCAGAGAGTAGCAGAAAGATCACTGGATTCGTATTCAGGAGACATGCTACTAAGTGTGTGACTGACAGGTCACTTCACTATTTTGGGCTTCAGCTGCTCATTTACGAAATGAGTTGGAAGGCCTCAACTTATGACTACTAGCCCTTTTGATAATTGTTCAACCAACAATTTTTTTCCATAAGACCGACAGCTACTGGTATCTCGATAGAAATATACCATAAAAGATGCTCCTCAAATATAATTGACCCCCCAAGAGCTAATGTAAACAGCAAAATCAGTATCTGAATCCTATAAAATTTTTAAAAAAGATTTTATTTATTTATTTATTTGAGAGAGAGAGAGAGAGCGAGCAAGCACGCAAGAGAGCACAAGCAGGGGGAGCAGCAGAGGGAGAGGGAGAAGCAGGCTTCCTGCTCAGCAGCCTGCTGACCAGGGAGACTGATGCGGAACTCGTTCCCAGGATTCTGAGATCATGACCTGAGCTGAAAGCAGACGTTTAACTGACTGAGCCACCCAGGCACCCTATCTGAATCTTTGTGTGTCTCTGGAGAATAATTACTTTTATATCATTCTTTTTAATCTATCTATCACCTACCTATGTGTTCACGTAACAACAGGTGGGTAGGTATACAGACAGGCAGGTAGGTATGTAGGTAGGCAGGTAGGTAGGCAGATAAAGATACACAGATATGCCTGGAGCTTAAGTGAGCCAGGCTCTTCCAAAAGCTCACTAACCAAAACTTGTTATGAAATGAAGGAATGATGAAGGGATGAAGGAAATCTGGGTTCTACAGTGTAATTCCCTAAGAGTCAGAACTGGATTCAAATCGCAGCTCGTTAATTCATTAGCTGCAGGTATCTGGCCAGCCGAACCACTTACCCCATGTGAACCTGTACTGTGTAGAGCTCTAAGGGTTCAATTAAGCAATGTATACAAAATACTGGGCACTCATGGATAAATTTTAGCTCAATAAATGTATTAGTGGCCATCCTTTCTCTACTTTCCCTTCAGTCTAAGCTTTCTTGTAATTTAGTAAAGCATCTCATGGTCATTTACATAACTATTCCTCACGAATCCTAGAGAATGGCCGGCCATTTGTGGCTTCTTCCAGAAAGCTACTTATCCATGAGGAGGAGGAGGTCTATTTTTTGGATTTTTTTCTCAATGTCAAAGATCTCTAAATAGAAGAGTATTTGTGCCAGGTGACAGTTTTACCTTAGAAAAATATACAGCTATTCTGTTATATTAAGTTTCTGCTGAACCCCAACAGGGAACCTGCTACAATATCCTACTGACATAGAAAAGTATTACTGAGCTCACGTATGTGCAAAAGTTTACAAATCCAACAACCAAAACTAGAGCTTATGTAGTTCAAGAGTCCTGTTTCATCAGCAATGATCAAAAAAGCTTAACCATTTGCCTTAAATTTCTTTGTAGTTTATCCAGCAGGGTACCATAGTCATGCTGAAAATAATGCTTTTCCTGATGGTGTACACAGAGCTCTACTATACTCCTTTTATCTACATTAGTATAAAAAGCAAGAGCAGATTTAAATTAATGAATAGCTTTTATTACCATTAAAATAGCACAGAGATAATAAGAAAGGGACTACACAGCAATTACAATTTTCTCATATGCTGAGAACTCCAGACCATACTTAAACATAGTACTGTAGACTTACCATATTTAACTTAAATTCCATTAAAGATAGTGAGAAGTAAAGGTCTGAAAAACTCAACACCTGAAATTATAAAATAACTACAATACTAATGATAGTAACAGTAGTAACCACCAGTAGTAGCTCTTCTTTGTGGAAGACTGCTATGTGCCAGATACTGTATCAGGCATGTTTAACTCACTTCCTCCTCAATACAACTCTACATAATTATCCCTGTCACAGATTAGGAGATGAAGAGATTACAAGGTGAGCTTCCTGTTCAAGGTCACATTAGCTAGTTAGAGCAGACTAGTTTTCTGTACCACATTTGTTGGATTTCAAAATCATACTCTTTCCAATGGGATTAGGAAAGGCAGCTGGTTTAGTAAAGGTAGCTGTGGAAATAAACATTGTCCAAAAACTTGTCAGACTTGGAAAAACTCTGGGAGAGAAGCAAAGTGCCATTAAGAGTAATCATGGCTGTTTAACACCTGCAGCACAGGCACAAGGGTATCAACCATGAAATAAATCAGTCATAACAGCTAAGTATCACCAGAGCTATAATAGCCATTTACGTGGAGAGTTGTATAAAAGCACTCAGAAGCTGAAAAATGTAATCAAAATTGACAAACTGTGTGCAATCTGTTATAAGGGCTTTGTTTGCAAATTAAATGTTTGCAAATTAAAGAGCCTACAACATTTTCCTTGTTCTAGACTTCTAAGTTTTACTTTTTCTTAAGGTTCTTTTTGGACAGGAAAAAAACCACATACCAAGCAGGCAATTTTCCAAAAATAAATAAAAATTTACTGTTATTGTAAGAATTTAAAAGAATCCTTTACAGAATTTATGGGAAAAGATCATGGTGCATCATGGAATGCACAGTGTCAAATTGTGTGAAGCAAGTCTGAAGGCATACAACCATAACCTAAGCGTACAACCATAACCAAGTGTAAACCCTTTCCTAAGTTGTTCTTCTGCAATTAAAATGATTGATTCGGGGCGCCTGGGTGGCTCAGTGGGTTAAGCCGCTGCCTTCGGCTCAGGTCATGATCTCGGGGTCCTGGGATCGAGTCCCGCATCGGGCTCTCTGCTCCGCAGGGAGCCTGCTTCCCTCTCTCTCTCTCTCTGCCTGCCTCTCTGTCTACTTGTGATCTCTGTCTGTCAAATCAATAAATAAAAATCTTAAAATAAAATAAAATAAAATGATTGATTCTCCCTACCTCCCAAACTGAACTGCAGTCTAACATACTGAATTCTCAAATTAAAAAATAAAATCATTATTGCACATTTATTTCTTGTGGAAAGACAGCAATATCCCTAAGCTTTACTTAGGTGTTTAAGAAAATTTTCATATGACGTTATTAATAATTTTTTTAAAAGATTTTATTTATTTATTTGACAGATAGAGACACAGCGAGAGAGGTAACACAAGCAGGGAGCGGCAGAGGGAGAGGGAGAAGTAGGCTTCCCGCTGAGCATGCAGCCCGATGCAGGGCTTGATCCCAGGATCCTGGGATCGTGACCTGAGCTAAAGGCAGACGCTTAAATGAATGAGTCACCCAGGTGCCCCTGAAGTTATTAATCTTGAACTTGATCCACATGTATTAAAAGGAAGAAAATCAGTTTTTTTAAAGCCCATAAAGCTACTATAGTACTGCACTGAATTTTAGCAGCCTAAACAAATTAACTTACTAATGAAAGGCAGAAACAAAGTCTTTCAGGTGTGACATCAACTATAGAATGATTTCTTTTGTCATTGGTAATTAAATAATATACTTACCATAAAAAGTGAGGTACCCAAAGAGTGCAGATACAAAATAAATGAGAAAACTTAAAATAATTGCTGTATGGGTTACATTTTGCATTCTTTTCTTTGAAGGGCTAAAAGACAAAAATGGCAAAAGTAGAAACTATGATCTGAATTATATCTAAAGAAACAAATATCTCCCAAGCTAGTTGTCAAGAGGATTCCTTAATTGCCCAAGACTTACTTTATTAATAACTATATATCAGAATTTCTGATTTGAAATTACTACACAAAGATTATGCTTCCAGGAAACATTCTCAAGTTGGACGGAAATAACTCTCAATTGTTTTTATTTTATTTTTTTTGTGTCTGTAGATATTTATTTTTTTCCCAACTTCAGGGTATTTTTATTAATAATATTAATAGGGATCACATTAAATTTATATATTAACTCAGAGAGCATTTGCAACTTTAGCATATTGAATTGTTCTTTTTTTACTTTTTTTTTAAATTATGTTCAATAAGCCAGCATATCATTTGTTTTGTTTTAAACTAACACTTAGGGGCACCCGGCTGGCTCAGTTTGTAGGGCATGTTTCAGAGTTGTGAGTTCAAGCCCCACACTGGGTGCAGAATTTACTTAAAGACAAAATCTTCAAAACAAATAAATAAACTAACACTTAGAATCCAGTGATGGGAAAGAATGATTCATAAAGGAGAATGTTATTAGATCTGAAAGACTAAGTAAAAAGAAGTTCTTAATATACTTAAAATATTTCAGGATCCTATGGTACCTTTGAAGTTCACAGTATATTGGCAATATGGAGGTATGGCAGAGAAATGAAAAAGCCATGGTAGGTATGGCATAAACACTCTGGAAAAGAATTTTAAAAGATGAAATCATTAAATGCTGTTCTAGTGAAGCCACTACTTCAACTGATCATAAACTCAGGTCCAAAAAAAAAAAAAAATCAATTTGGTCAAATTTATTTCAGCTTGCACAAATCATCTCTTTATAAAATAAGGTGTTTTGTTTTGTTTTTAAAGAGAGACACAAGTATGGTCACCAACAAATGTTTTGCTTGATTGTTTAGACCTCCTGTCCTAGCCGGAGTATTTCTTGGCTGGCTTCTATAGCATGTTCAGGGTACCACCAACTGAATCTAAGGGAATACCGAAAATACTAATCACATCTTAGCATTTTTAACTAGGATCTGTTTCAATGGGAATGAATATGATATATTCTAGACTGACAAATTCTTAAAGATCCACTGAAATACACAAACATAAGTGTTTTCTTAATTAAAATACTTAAGAGCCAGAGGAAGTTATAAAGCAAACAAAAGTTATCATCTAAGTGAAAATACTGTCTTTATATAATGAATGGTGATGATTTACTGTCTCTTTTTTACCATAAAAAGATTTCCCTCTAACAACTTTAGGCTCTTCGACAAAAACTCCAGATGAGTAAAGACCTGTCTTGGGATATAATGCCTCCTAAAATATCTGAAGGGAGCTGCGAAGGAAAGCTGTAGCATTTCCTGAGGCTGTATTAGGGGAATGAGAATTTAATTCTCAATTTCTTTTAAATATATTGCTCAATGTCCTGGCTTGTCAATTACTCTACAGAGATCTTTAAGGCAGATAGCCTTTACCATGTAAAGGACGTAGTAATCTCCCTTATGGAGCCAGAGAGACATTTCTTATTGAAAAACTGGGGATAAAAAAGGAAAATTCTTCATGGAGGACTTAGCACACTAACATGCTACACTAATTGAGTTGTGCAAGAGTGGAGGGGATTCTAGTATCTGGGACTTAGATTTCAACAGAAGCAAAAAATGTAGAAGTTTCGGAAGAAACTGGTGGCAACGGGAAGACTTTGGGCTCTTCTGGAATAGTAAAGTAGACATCCATCCATATCATAGCTCCTGTCTCCTCTGCCAGTGCTCAGGGGCTCTTACAGACACTTCCAGGATCCTGGTTCCCAGAGATGGCAAGGAGACTTGGTCTTCTAGTCTCTACTCCAAGCATCATAAATTTCAACTTTGGAATGTCAGCCAGAAGATACATTGGCAACACTCACTTGCTGATCCAATGATGAGGCTGTTTAGCTACAGACCGAGGTTCTACTCACCAGGGAGGAGTTTTTGATATAATTGGCTATTTAGCTTTACAAGTCCAGAGGGCAACAGGAAGTCTGTATCCACAGAGGACCTTATTGGCCAGACCAGACATTTGGTAAATCTGTTCTTTTAGGCAGTGGCCCATTTAAAACAAGCTCCATTTAAAGGCATGCCAAAAAAAAAAAAAAAAAAAAAAAAAAAAAAGGTGGCTGTTTCATAATGGGCCACCCTGTGTTAAATAATATTATTCTTCTGGTAGGCAACCCTATACTTAACACTTTCATGAAAATTAATTAGTTACAGGTACAAAGACCTAAGAGACCCTGTTATACAAATCTCTTAAAACTTGAAATGTGAAAAATCAACCAAAAGTATCTGTTAATAACTTACACACCTCTTTGGAGAAATGAAAGAGCCTTGGTTTACAATCATCTGTAGCATTTGAAATCTGTTTAAGAGAATTGAGGGGAAAAAGAGAAACCAGCAGTCATTAAAAGTCAGAATACATCAACAAAAATGATGTATTTATTATTAGTAGGCTTTCAAATAAAAATATTTCAAAACAAAGTTCCAAACTGCAATATAGTCATTACTTTTTCATTAATTAGGAAAAAATTCATTATTAGTCTGATTTCTTTTTTAGCTTAAAATAAAAAGGAAGAAACAAAATAAAAACTATTACCTGGAAATATTGCTCTACATAATTTAATGGCAGAGGACAAGGAATGGACCACTTTTTAATTATTACCTGTAAAAATAAGTAGAATCCACACTCAAGATTATTTCTTATAAAATTCATGATAAGAAATTGATTTCAAACAGGTCAGCATCGTTTTGATTAAACTAATACCATACCAAATAATAGCTATTAGAAGATTCTTTGCTCATATTATTTTTTTCCAGTTAGAAAGGGTCATCCTTTAACATGGTTACCTATCGTGAGGGGAGAAGGGATGCTGTATATCTGTCTAGCAGGGTTCTCTCCCATTAAAGATGGAGAGTCTTCTCATGTCAACTTTCAAAACCCCAAAAGCATCAAGGCATTAAAAAAAAGTACAACTCAAAGTGGGAACATGATGTTTTTAGTGACAATGGTATACTATGGCTATTTGTGGACCTGGCATCAGTAGCAGATAGAGAAAAATTAACAGCAGTTTGGGAAATGGCCACAAGCAGAAAGAAGTAGGGAACTCATGCAAAGCAGGAGTTCAGGGATTTCTGATGGAGAAGTACTGCACTGCTGGCTTTTTTCAGACTTGTATTACTTTTAATAAATGTAGATAAAGCAGGCTAAGAAAAGTGCACATAGCTAGCAAGCTCTAGCTATTAAAAAGAAATTTTTAAAAAATTCAAAGAAATCCAGAGGGATGAAAATCTCTCGGGATTTTACTCTGGATTGTGGCACCACCCTCCTCGACCTACACTTGTGGTTGTGTGGACATTACCACTATTGCAGTAGTTTCAGGGCACGTAATTACTCTGCAAATATTTGCTCCAAGCTGGAACCCAGCATCCACAGGGGCAAGAGAGAATAAAGGAAGCATTTGTCCTTAGCAGGAGACCAATAAGTAAATACTAGTCCTATTGCTCTTTGGTATTTATCTAGTATTTGATTTTAACTAATTCAAACAAAATTTTATAAACTGATAAAACAAATCTAAGAAAAACATACACTTCTAGAGTTAAGTTAATGAGTGAGCTAAAGAATTACTCTTTATTAAAACCGTCACCAACTAAAAAGAAAAGGTATAAAAGGGTAAACCGAGCAAGTTGCTTGGATATTTCTAGGTAGGTCTTCAATATGAAATAAAACTAAATGGTCAACTTACCAAGAGGGAAAACAAATCAAAAGCGATAATTTCAAATCTGTTTTCTGATATGTTTTCAAAAAAGTATGAGGAGTTCCTGGTCTCTCTCTCAGTGCTACTTCAAATTCAGTGTTGCCCATCTCCCCCTTAGCAGCAGTGGTGTGGGGGTGGCAGCAGCCATGTACTGAGCACCTGTGTACCAAGGACTTTGACAAGGTCGGAATGTGAGTGAGCTCATTTATTTTATTAGCTATTATTATTACTTGGCTTGGAAATCAAAATATTTCAAAACATGCTCCAAAATACAATATAATGATTCTTTCATTCATTTTTCAATGAATTTCTAGTTAATGAAAAGGTCATTAGCAGTTGGGTTTTTTTTGTTTTTTGTTTTTTTCCTTTGGGGCTTTTCTTTTTATTTTATTTTATTTTTTTAATTTTATTTTTTATAAACATATATTTTTTTTTCCCCCAGGGGTACAGGTCTGTGAATCTCCAGGTTTACACACTTCACAGCACTCACCATAGCACATACCCTACCCAATGTCCATAACCCCCCCCCAACCCCCCTCCCCCCAGCAACCCTCAGTTTGTTTTGTGAGATTAAGAGTCACTTATGGTTTGTCTCCCTCCCAATCCCAACTTGTTTCAGCAGTTGGTTTTATATTAACATAAAATTCAGTTACTATAGCTAATTTCCCTGCAGACTCCTATCCCAAGCCCAAGCCTGCCCAGTGGGATGGTGAGATGTGCTGTTCTATAAAGTACAGTACAGAATGGGAATAGAAAGATACCCAACAACAAAGTGTGATGGGGAGGGCTTGCTCAGGTTGTAGACAGAACATAACATAAGAAGATAACTCTAAGGGTTAGAAAGGCAGAGGGAAAAATAATTCACTGGCATCAAAGGCCCTTCTTTCTAAGTTCTTCTCATCTCTCGAGGTGCAGCTCAAGTTTAATTTCCTTCTCTCCTGTCAACTGCTATGACTCTTATTCTGAAGCCAGTAAAGCAATAATTAATTATGTATTATCGACATGGTTCTCTGTTGTTTTCCAATCAATTTTTCTCATCTCCCCTACGAGACTGACAGATCCGTAAGAGCAGCGGCCACCAGTCTATCTGAAGCACTGATCGTGCCTCACTCAGTGCTCAGAACAAGCAAGGATTCTGACTATAAACCATCCACAAAGTTTTCTATTTTGATCACTGGCTCATTAAAATATTACTTAAAATACTAATCTGCATTCAAGGCAGAACTTTTGGAAAGAATGGCAATCCATTTGTTTTCTAAAATGGACCAAAAAAGGTAAGTCCATCTGGTTACTGTCATTCTGAGTCACTGCTAAAATAAAATGGATTTTAAAAATTTTAGATATTTCAGAGGGGGCAAAATTTTATGTTAAAATTTTTAGACAAAATAAGGCTCTGGGACAACAGATAAGGCTACGTTTTGGGGCCCCTGAGCGGCTCAGCTGGTTGAGCTTCAGATTCTTGATCTCAGCTCAGGTCCTGGTCTCAGGGTCATGAATTTGAGTCCCATGTTGGGCTCCACACTAGACCTGGAGCCTGCTTTAAAGAAAAAAAATTTTTTTTAAAGACTTAAGTTTTGCTTTCCATCTGGTGGCAGGCATCCGCTCCAAGGTCAGCCAAGATGGGCGTTTAAAGTACATCCAGGAGCTATGGAGGGAGAAGCAGTCTGGTGTAATGCACTTTCTTCTCAGGGTGCACTGCTGGCAGTACCCACAGCTCTGTGTGCTCTGTAGGGCGCACCCCCGCAAATTCTCCACCCAAGCCAGCTGATAAAGCACGTGGACTGGGGCCCAAGGCCAAGCAAGGTTATGTAATATATCAGATTCAACATAGTGGCCCCAAACGCCATTCCTAACAGTGAGACCTCGAGCAAGCCCGTCCCATCATGGTGCTAACCAGCTAAGGTTTCCCAAAAGCCTTCAGTGGGCTGCAGAGGAGTGAACTGGATGCCACCGTGGGTCTCTGAGAGTCCTGAATTCTTACTGGGTTGGCAAAGATTCCAGGTACAAATTCTTCGAGTTTATCCTCATTGATCCATTCCATAAAGCCATGAGAAGAAATCCTGACACCAAATCAGCCCACAAGCACCGGCTGACGCAAGGGCTGACATCTGCAGGCCACGAGAGCCGTGAGAAAGCGCCACGGATTCCAGTACCCCATGAATGGTTCTTGCCGTGAGGCACGGGGTAGACAAAATACTCTCTGCTAATATAAGTAATGTTTGTAAAATCCTTACCTAATCAACAATTTAGCTCAGTCATGGCTGATTTAAAGTGTTCTTTGTCTGTCAAAATGAGTTCTCTGTAGATTGTTTCATGAATGCATTGTCAAATTATGAAAGTTAAAATGCAATAATGTTTGAAAACTGTAAGTGATGGTGTGTCTTGTTCCTAATAAGATAAACACTTTTGTCTTTGCTTTACGTCATTAGGGAGTTTATATGCCAGTGTTTAAAATGCTGTTCAGGGGGCACCTGGGTGGCTCAGTGGGTTAAGCCTCTGCCTTTGGCCCAGGTCATGATCCCAAGGTCCTGGGATCGAGCCCCTCATCGGGCTCTCTGCTCGGCAGGGAACCTGCTTCCCCCACTCTTTCTGCCTGCCTCTCTGCCTACTTGTGATCTCCCTCTCTCTGTCAAATAAATAAATAAAATCTTAAAAAAAATAAATAAAATGCTGTTTGGTATAATAGGTGTAAAATAAATTTCGTAAAAGTGGATGGCAGAAGCTAGCCACGTCACTTGTGGGCGCATGTAATGAAACCTACAGCTTCACTGGGGTGATATAATATTCTGCCGGTTTACTCTCAAATGGTTGTTTTTAGGGGTTTGGTAAGAACAAGCTTTTTAAATTGGATTTTGCTTGGAAATGTGAAGAACATCCAAATCCCTTATCATGATCATATGCAGAATAATAAAGTTAACTAGGGCCCACATTTTTAGGTTTAATCCAATATTCCACTTAAGTAATTGTTGCTTTTCAAAGAATAGTTTTAAAGAATGCCACCATTTTTAGAAGAACTGAATAAACCTATTGTAAGAGGGTTCTCTTACAAATGAAAATAAATCCTCCTTAACCTAAGCAAAATCGCCTTGATTTCCGTAGTACCACCGAGGCTCACATAAAAGGCGGAGGCTCCTGATTCTATCCCATAACTCTGTGGGATCTATAGAATACTGAATTTCATACAAAGCAGCCAGTAATGGTATTTACACCAGTGTATATTAAAAACTAGTAGAAATTGAATATTAGGTAAATGAGAAGAATTTACCTTAAGATTTGTAAGCTAGTAACCAATGCTAGGATTGGGAAACTGGCAGCTATCAGATGAGCTTTTAAATATGAGAGTAAAAGATTAAAGTCGGCTTTGATCAGAATTCTAAAAAAAGACTAAGTTACGATTTACATTATTTGGAGAGTGTAATTTAAGAAAGTAATAGATTTCTTGACTGATTTTTTTTTAAATTTATATTAAGAATTTAAAAAATGTAATATAGATATTATATAGATTTATAAATACATATTGACAGAAACAATAAATGGAGCCATTGATACCATTCCAAAAAGTCTGGGTTGATATACACATGTATCCTTCCCTAACTACTACATATTTTTAACCTAATTATTTAGAAAATCTAAAATAAAAGTCACAATTAAAAGGAGCATTTGTTAAAAAGTGCACAGTGTCTTCACTGTCCTGTTGTAGACCAAATTTAAGCTGTGCTCACCAGTAAAAATTTGAGCAGATGGTTTGTAAAGCATTACAATAAGTACAGAATAAGGGCCTTATTTCCATATGACTGTACAGTAAGAAATCTGCATCAAATTTAAGAGTATCTGCCAGGACAGAAATGAATATTGTGAAAACTACAAAAGACATGCCATGTCAATATATTTCACATGCTTCAAACTACTGGCTATAAAAACCCAATTACTCTTACCTATGCAATGCTTGGATTGTCAATTATCTGTGAGGAAAAAACCGAGTGTTATCTAGACTGATTCTCTTTCACATCCATATGTTCATTTGCATACATAGGTCATCCCTAACCATACAGATGTTTCTCAACCATCAGTTTATGAAACTGGACTACTTGCTAGCACCATATAGGAAAATAAACTCAAAATGGATTAAAGACCTTTAATTAGGAATAAACGTGAGACCTAAAACCATAAAATTCCTACAAGAGAACATAGGTAGTAATTTCTCTGACATCAGCCATGGCAACATTTTTCTAGACATGTCTCCTAAGGCAAGGGAAATGAAAGCAAAAATAAACTATTTGGACTATGTTAAAATAAAAAGCTTTGGCACAGTGAAGGAAAAGCACCAGCACAACAAAAAGGAAACCTACTGAATGGGAAAAGATATTTGCAAATGAGATACCTGATAAAGGGTATCCAAAATACATAAAGAACATATATAACTCAATGTCAAAAAACCAATTCAATTAAAAAATGGGCAGAGGACTTGAATAGACATTTTCCCAAACAGGACATATAGATGACCAAAGGACACATGAAAAGATGTGTCTTTTTACTAATTATCAGGGAAATGCAAATCAAAACCACAACGAAATGTTACCTTATACCTAACAGAATGACTAAAATAAAAAAGACAAGAAATAACAAGTGCTGGTGAAGATTTAAAAAAATACAACCCTTGGGCACTGTTGAAGGGAATGTAAATTGGTACAGTCACTACAGAAAACAATATGGAGTTACCCCAAAATATTTAAAATAGAAATACCATATGACTCAATATTCCATTACTGGGTATTTACCCAAAGAAAACAAAAACAATAATTCAAAAAGATATATGCACCCCTATGCTTATTGTAGCACTATTTACAATAGCCAAGATATGGGAGCAACCTAAATACCCATCAATAGGCAAATAGATAAGAAAGATGGGTGTGTGTGTGTGTGTACATACAATGGAATATCACAACGCCACAAAAAAGGGTAAGGTAGTGCCATTTGCAACAACACAGATGGACCTAGAGGGTATTTTGCTAAGTGAAATAAGACTGAAAAAGACAAATACCATATGATTTCACTCACTGTGGAATCTAAAAAAAAAAAAAAAAACCAAATGAATAAAAAACAAAAAGCAGAATCAGACCTATAAAAACAGACAACAAACCGATAGTGGCCAGAGGAAAGCAGGGAAGAGGGGTGGGCAAAATGGATAAAGGAGAGTAGAAGAAACAGACTCCCGGTTATGGAATGAATAAGTCACGGAAATAAAAAGCCCAGCATAAGGAACATAGTTAATGATACTGAAATAGCATTGTACGGTGACAGATGCCAGCTATAGTCAGGGTGAGCAAAGCATAGTGTATAAACTTATCAAATCACTGTTGTACACCTGAAACTAATGTTAACACTGTGTCAACTATACTCAAAAAATAAAGTACCACTGCAAAAAAAAATCCATTTATGGTGAGAATAACTGTTGTCTCCCTTTTCAATGTGGAACTTAAAAAGTGTATGTTCATGGATGTTACCTAAACTTACTGTGGTAATCATTTTGCTATATATGTAAGTCAAGTCTTTATGCTGTACACATTTAAGCTTATACAGTGATGTATGTAAATCATATCTAAATTAATTGAAGGGGGAAAAAAGTATATGTTCAATTCATTTGCCTCTAAGATAGAAGTCAGACAATTTGAGGTGGGGAGGGCAATGATTTTTAATGCTGATAAATTCAACAAATGATTAAATGTAAACACTGTTAAGTATTTTAGTTTTAAGAGCATCCATTAAAGTATTTCTGAACACTAACACCAGGGTTCCTTCCACTTCATTTAAATGATCTAAAGTTGTTTCACCTCTGCATCCCAACAGATAGTTCAACCTAAATTAAATGCCTCCTGGATTGTTGTGACAGCTTGAAAATCTGGCTCTATAATATGATTTAACTACTGGGGTGTTGTGTTGCTCCTTTTGGTACCATTTTTCCTTGACTCCTTTTCAACAACAAAGAAGTGTTTAATCATATACACACCCAGTATTATACAGAAATAAATGGATACACACATCTACGCAAAGAATTAAACTTCATCTAAGGTTTTAACAGAGTCAGTGTGCTTTCCTTTCTAGTTAACCAAAAGAGATACTGGATTTGAAAAAATGTTCTAGCTAAGCCTCTTCAAAATAGGTACAATAATTTTGTGGAATAAAAGTGCTTTTAGTAACACAGTGAAATAAAACTCTGACAGAAAACAGAGTTAAAAGTCTTCTTTTTAGAAGACATTAACACAGTAAGTTCAATTTTAGTGAGGAGATAAGCAATATACTGTATTTTAAACTTACCACGAGAGCAAAGAACACCATAAAGAAAAATGATAAACTGCTTGTGTAGCCAAGAAAGCCTGTAAAATAAGAGTAAAATAAAAAGCAATTTATAAGGAAAGTGATCCTAACATACAGCTAAAGCTATACATCTTGGGCATGTTTTCTATTACAGTGCTTGGTATCTGGGGCTTAGGGCTGAGAATAACAACATTCCAACTATCTGTCACAGATCATTTATGCAGCTCTGTACAGCAGAACTGGAACTGGCTTACCACTAATGGTACACTATAAGGAAAGGCTGCTCTTTAATGTTCCACTGTAAAGATTTTATTTTAGTGGGGCAGACAAAATACTACTACAAACCAAGTAATAGGCTAACTAGGCAAGACTGAAGGCTGAACAACCTACAATAAGTCCAAGTTCAGAATTATTCACCGTTACCACCCTTCTGCTAAAAATGTGGTACTGTGAAATTTAAAAGCCCCTTAATGTTATCTTCTTTCTTCCTTCTTTCCAAACAAAAACTCTCTTCTTCTCTAAAGACTTACCTATTTTAGGAAGAAGCGCAAGAGGGAACACAATGCCAACACAAATGATTATTAGTAGTGTTTGCCCATCAAGATACCAAGACCTAGTAGAAAAAAAAATAGTCCTATCTTAGGCACAGGAATCCAGTGCTTGTGTTTACACACACACACACACAGTTATAGCCATTACAACCACCCATTAGGAAAAGCCTACTTCCTTTCATTAGAATATGTTCTTGAGAAATCCTATTATTCTTATTAATGAATTTATATTTAAAAAGGTATCAAAACAATGAGATGTCATTTTTCAACTACCAAATTAGCAAATATTTAAAAGTAAGATAATAGTCAGTGTCGGTGAGGAGTGACAAGGTGTACACAAACTGGTGAATGTAGGGGTTCCTGGATGGTTCAGTCAGTTGAATCTGGCTGTTGTTTTTGGCTCCTCATGATCTCAGAGTCCTGAGATTGACCCCAGGGTCAGCTTCTGTGCTCAGTGGGGAATCTGCTTGAGGATTCTCTCCCTCTTCCTCTGCCCCTCCCCCATGCTCAAGTGCACACACACTCTTTCCCTAAAATAAATAAATAAGTCTTTAAAACTGGTGAAGGTAAAAACTGTGTATATTACCTTTCTGGAAAACAATTCGGCAAAAGATATTGAAAATTTTCAAATATTTAATACTTATAAAAGATTATTAAAAATAAACAATCAGGAATGCCTGGGTGGCTTAGTCAGTTAAGTGCCTGACTCTTAATTTTGGCTCAGGTCATGATCTCAGGGTCATGAAATGGAGCCTCCAGATGGCTCTGTGCTGGGTATGGAGTTTGCTTAGATTCTCCCCCATCTCCCTCTGCCTGCCCCCACTCCTCCCTGCTCATATGTACCCTCTCTCTCTCTCAAAAAATAAATGAATAAATAATCAGTTGGGGTGCCTGGGAGGCTCAGGCGGTTAAGTGTCTGTCTGACTCTTGATTTCAGAATTTCAGCCCAGGTCTTGATCTCAGGGTCATGAGTTAAAGCCCTGCACTGGGCTCCATGCCAGGTGTGGAGCCTACTTAAAAAGTAAGTAAATAAATAAATAAACAAACAAACAAACAATCAACAATAAGAACAAAAATATTTGTAAAAAGATGGTTACTGAAAACAGTTAAAATACTGAAAATTGGAAACAAATATCTAAGACCACAACAATTTTAAAACAAATTATGGGACTACGGGACAAGCATAAAAAAGAAAATTCTACACATATAATAATATAATGAATAATATAACAATATATTGATATGAAAACATCCTAAATATACATAGCATGATTAGCAATTTTGAGGAAAAGCATAGATTAAAAATGGAAAAGTATAGATTAAAAATGGAACTGCAACATCTTGATAGCCATCATCTTTTGGTGGCATTATGATGGGTAACTTTTCTTCTTCACAGTTTCTATATTTTTCAAGTTTTCTAGAAAGAGCATGAATTACCAGTAAAAAAATATTACATTTTTCATATAAAGACATGAGAATATTAAATGAAAAAAAAGGTAGCTTAAAAGTATGATGATGTATTTGATTACTAAAAAAAACCTGAATGAACATTAACAAAAAAGTCAGAAGGATATTCTTAAAATACCAGGAGGAGACATTTCTGTGTGGTAGCAATATGAGCAATTTTTATTTTTTCCTTGTTTGCATATAGATGGTTTCAATTTTCCAATATAAAATACATGTGTGGAAATTTTTAAAAAGTTAGAGTTAATTCCTCAAGAATTTAATAGTAAAAACCTCACTTTAGTATGTAAAGGACAAACAATTCATGAAAGAAGTATAACTAGTAAATACACATGAAGAAAAATCCAATCTCTGGTGCTAATTAAAGAAATAAATATGAAGCTGTTGAAATTAAACTAGTAAAATTATTCAAAAAGTAATATTCAAGGATGTGGCACAACTGGTCCTTCAGGCATTGCTAGTGATCTTGTCAATTAGTACTACTTCTGGGAAAACAATGACATTACGTAGCAAATGCAATAAAAACATGGTACTCTAAGAAAATAATCTATAATATAAAGAATTCTATGTGCATGAAGCTATGAATACAACATTACTATAACATTAAGAAGCTGGAGGGAAGTCCTATATATTTAGCGACAGAAAATATTAGGCCAATAAAAGCATATTCAGTGGAATGCTATGCAGCTAGATAAAAAGACAATTTAGTAAAATGGAAAATACTAACAATGAAAATATAAAATATATGATTATTAACTATGTTTTAAAAAGCTTTTTGAGAAAAACTAAAAGGATAAAACAGTGATTAGGTAAGAGATGTTATTATGTCTGATTTTTATTTGCTTTCTTTTCTGAATTTTCTATAATCATCTTTTCACTGAAACATACACATATACACACATGCAGAGTAGTAACCAAGTATAGTTAATGTCAATATGGCAGCTGGAGCATCAAAGACAACAGGGATTTTTTTTTCCCAAATCATTTGGCAGGGTGCCTGGGTGACTCAGTGGGTTAAAGCCTCTGCCTTCAGCTCAGGTCATGATCCCAGGGTCCTGGGATCGAGCCCCACATCAGGCTCTCTGCTTGGTAGGGAGCCTGCTTCCCCATCTCTCTCTCTGCCTGCCTCTCTGCCTACCTGTGATCTCTCTATCAAATAAATAAATGAAATCAGGGTCAAATCATTTGGCAGATACTCTCAGAATTCCCAGCTGGTGAAAATGCATCCTCTTTTTCTACCAAGTAGCTAAAGTCACCCACTGACATGTTAAGTTAAGAAAACGGATACACTCCTGGAAACAGATAATATATCAAAATCATGAGAAATAAAAAATATGAACAGAGCGATAATGAGTAAAGAAAATGAATCAGTGTCAAGAACTTCCCAACAAAGAAAACCCCAGGACCAGATAGTTTTACTGGTGAATTCTACCAATTATTTAAAGAAGAATTCATGCCAATTTTCAAACTCTTCTAAAAAACTGAAGAGAGGGGAATACTCCCAAACTCATTTGACAAGGGCAGCATACTCTTATACGAAAGCCAGATAAGGACACTACAAAAAAAAGAGAACTACACATCAATATCCCTGATGAATACAGATGCACAAATTCTCAACAAAATATTAGCAAAATGAAAACAATGGCACATTAAAAACATCATACACGATGATTAAGTTGAATTTATCCCTGGAATGCAAGGGTGGCTGAACATATGAAATCAATAAATATGATACAGCATATTAACAGGATGAAAGATAAAAATCATACGATCATCTCAACAGACGCAGAAAAAGCATTTGATGAAATACAACAAACCTTTTATAATAAAAGCCTTCAACAAATTGGGTAGAGAAGGAATATACCTCAATATAATAAAGGCCATATACAACAAACCTACAGCTAACATCATATTCAAGAGTGAAAGGTTGAAAGCTTTTTCTCTAAGATCAGGAACAACAGGGTGCCCACTCTCACCACTCTTATTAAACATAGTACTGGGAATCCTAGCTAGAATAAATCAGGCAAGATAAAAAAATAAAAAAATAAAAAATAAAAGGCATCCAAACTGGAAAGGAAATAGTAACTCTGTATTTGCAGATCATATGATCTTATAGGGAGACTATCCTAAAGACTCAACCAAAATGGCTGTTAGAACTAAAGGACACATTCAGTAAAGTTGCAGTTAACAAAATCAACATACGGAAATCAGTTACATTTCTATACACTAACAACAAAATATCTGAAAAAGAAATAAAATAATCCCATTATAACAGCATCAAAAAAATTAAAATATGTAGGAATAAATTTAACCTGATGATGAGTACACTGAAAACTACAAGATAGGACTCCAATGACAGAATTTGAAGAAGAAACAAACGGAAAGATAACCTGTCTATGTTCATGGATAGGAAAAATTCATTTGTTAAAATGTCCATGCTACCCAAAGCCACCTATAGATTTAATGCAATCCCTATCAAGATTTGAGTGACACTTTTTACAGAAATAGAACAATCCTAAAATTTGTATGGAACCACAAAAGATCCCACAGAGCCAAAGCAATCCTGAGAGGGAAAACAAAACATCATACTTCCTGATCTCAGACTGTACTACAAAGCTGCTGTAGTTATCAAAGCAGTATAGTACTGGCATAAAATAGACACATAGGCCAATGGAACGAATAAAGAGCTCAGAAATAACTCTGTGCCCATATACAGCCAAACTGATACTGACAAGGGAGCCAAGAGCGCTCAATGGGGGGAAAAGTGTCTTCAATGAACAGTGTTAGGAAAACCAGGTAAACACATACAAAAAAATGAAATTGGTCTCCTTTCTTATACCACTCACAAAAATCAACTTGGAGGGGATTAAACAGATTAAAGACTTAAATGTAGCACCTGAAACCATAAAACATGAAAACATAGGGGGAAAGCTCCTTGACAACAGCCCTGGCAATAATTTTTTGGATATGATACCAAAAGCACAAGCAACAAAAGTAAAAATAAGTAGGGTTACAGCAAACATGCAAAAAGCTTTTGCACAGCAAAACAAACAATAAACAAAGTGAAGAGGCAATCTATGGAATGAAAGAAAATATTTGCAAACCATATAACTGATAGGTGGTTAATCCAATTGAAAAATGCACAGAGGAAAACAACGGCCATTTTTCCAAAGAAGACATACAAATGGCCAACAAGTACATGAAAAGATGCTCAACATCACTAATCATCACAAAATACAAATTAAAACCACAGTGAGAGACCACCTCACACTTGTTAGCATGGGTATCAAAAAGAAAAGCAATAACAAGTGTTGGTGAGGAAGTGGAGATAAAGCAATCCTTGTGCACGGTCAGTGAGAAGGTGAACTGGTTCAGCCACTATGGAAAATAGTATGGAGGTTCCTAAAAAAATTAAAAATAGGGGCATCTGGGTGGCTCAGTCGGTTGAGCACCTGGCTCTTGATTTCAGCTCAGGTCATGATCTCAGGGTCTTCGGATGGAGCCTAGCAAGCAGGAGCGCTCAGCCAGGAATCTGCTTGTCGATTTCTCTCCCTCTCCCTACCTCCCCCCTCGTGTACATGCATGTGATTGCACTCAC